ACGGCCTTGGTGGAAGGTTTTTCCGAGGGAAAGGGGGGGAGGGAGGCCGTCGAGGGGTCGCCGTTGGCGACTTGGTGTTGGCACGGCGCGCTGTCGAAAAAATCCGGTTTAGCGGTCGCGCTTCGTGTGCTGATAAACGCATCACTATCATGGCTGGAATAGGAACTTGTGCTTTGACGATAAGTGACTTTCTTACCCTCTTCCTTGAAAATTTCCTGAATAAGATCATCAATCGTAGAGTCCATTGGATTAAGCTATCCGTTGGTTAACAAAATTTAACCGCAGCTGTTAATGTCTAGTTGGGAGGGGGCTCCTACTTTTTCCACGTCCCAAAGGTAAGGTTCGAAACGGCCCTCGGATGATCTTTTTTTTGATATGGGAAGAATTAAAGAGGTAGGGAAAAGCGTTGTTGTTGTTGTTTTAAAAGAAGAAAATCTATATAGGCCTTTGTTTTTCCAGAAAAAAAAATGAAACTTTATTTTATCGTACACAACAAAAACATTCGACATGTCTTTAATGACAACAAAAATGAGCAAATATAACACACTCTTACTATAAAGCAAGAATATCCATAACATCAAAAAGAAGAAACGCTGGAATGGTTAATAAAGCCTTGTCAAACAAAAAAATACTTAGTATTTAAGGAACATGGAAGCTTAGCATAGCATCATTCTAATAAGCAAGACATATTAAAAGGAACATTATAATGTAATATTGTACACGTACCTGTATTTTCTATTGATTTGAGAAGTGGATAAATAAACTTCACATTTATCTGATATTCCGAACTTTTTAAAAGCGTACTAAGCAGAAAAATCAACCGATTAATTGTTTAACTTTTTTTAAAGTGAAATTCGTAAATAAAAAATTACAATTGAAAAACTAAAAGACTAACCAGGATGGTATTGCTACTCTAAGATTATTTCATGTAAAATCCTATCAAAGTTTCCCTGTATCATATTAGTAATAATTCAAATGTTAAAATATCTAATATATATATATATATATTATGGGAAGCTTTTTTTTTGAAGAAACAATAAGAAAAACTTCCAAATTTTGAATTTAAAACTTTCTCAGGGGATGCCAGACATTCGCATATAAATATATGCAAAAGAGGCACGATCGCTTTGTAAAATCTCTACTTTTCGAACTTTCAATTTCCATCAAGATTCAAGAAAATTCAATAATCAGCTTCAACAATTTCAAGAGGGTGCGAAGATAATCCATTGAACAATTTTATACAAAAGGGCATAAGGGGTAAATATTAGTCGTACTATGATAAAAAAGGAGTGGATTATTTTATCAAGGCAATTGAAAAAAAGCGAACTCTACATGATAAAACATTTACAACTTGACTTTTCTTTTTTCTTTACTCCTGATATGTCATTCAAGGGTTTCGATGATCCTGCCTTGTTCGTATCGGGAGTTGTTTTCTGTATTGCGTCTAAATGTTTATTTCTATGAGACATTAAGCATGGCCCTGACGTCGTATGCAAGATGCTGCTTTGATGGTCATACTCCATAAATAAACTGTTTGATAGACTGTTTCCGGGTTTTTCACCCCTCTTCCGCTTTCCTTTCTTCCCTAAAAATGAGTGCTTGTTGGACACCCTGCTGCATTCTCGAGATGAAAAATTGTTCTGATCCATATCCACGGTTGCGGAGCTCATGGGGCTCTCTCTCAGCCATGGTGGGGACTGCTTCCCTTTATATAAACCATCTTCCTTCCGCGTCGCTCCGTTATCTCGGATGCCGACCGCAAGGCACTCGGGTATCTTTTCCTGCCAAACCGCCCCGCTGGCGTCTCTCAAGCTATGGACGGGTGAACCGACGGCGTCTTGCTTGTTCTCCTCCGGGTCTTTGCCGTTTCGGCGATGGCGAAGCTCCACCTCGCTGATGTGGATAGAATTACAATGAGCGCCGAACTCTTGGATGGGAGAAACGAGACGGGAGGGCTGATTTTTGTTGACGGGCAGCAGGTGCTGTTTGCATTTTTGGGGGTCGCCTCCCATTTCCTGAAAGATTTCCTGAACAGGACTGAGACCAAGCACCGCCACTTCGCTAGGCTTCAGCGGAGGGCATTGATTGGACGGGCGAGAATCGTGATCCTTCAGCTCCGCATTGGGGACCTCTCGCTGCGCATCTACACCTGGTGCTCCACCACTTTGATGATTTCGCTTCTCCACGTGGTTTTTATTCGCATCATTCCGCCTATACAGCGACATCCGAATCTCCTCCTCTGCGACCTGCTCGATGGTAACGGGGTCGAGCTCCCAGTCCACCGGCTTATTCGGTGGGTACCCTCGCCGCGCCAGCGCGCGATAGATGAGGGAAAGTAAGTAATCGTAATCGGGCTCGTCCTCGTAGAGTAAGGTTTGGAGGTGGGCTAAAAATGCTTGGAACTCGCGCGGTAGGTTACGCACGAGCTGCGGTGTGATCGATTCCTCTTTACATCGTCCAATATCGTCCTTATCCTTGTACTTACGCCAGGGCAGAGTGCCAGTTGCGAACTCCACCAGCATAAAAAGCAAGCTCCAGAGATCATCGACGCGGCCGAGCTCCAACCGGCGATGGGAGGCCACGGAGGCGTAGCGGCTCGTTCCGCGGAATCCCGCATTTTTTCGCGAAGGCCGGAGCTCCCCGTTTGAGCGGCGGTAGCGGCGCGCGAGGCCGAAGTCGATGAGGTAGCAAGTTGCCCGATCCGGCGAACCCGGGATCCCGGTGATAAAGTTGGAGGGCTTGATATCGCGGTGCACGAGCCCTTGCTCATGCACACCACGAATGGCGGTTAGACAAGAAATACCAGCCTTCAGGGTTGTGTAAATGTTAAAGGTACCATGCGGGCTCCTGCGTCGTAGCTCGGTCAGGTTCGGTCCTAACTTTTCCATCACTAAATAGTTCATACCATCAACGCAGCCGTTGCTCACAAAGCGAACCACCTGCTGGCACGACTGCACTTTTTTGAGCGCCAATGCTTCTAAACGCAAAATATTTTTATTCTCCTGCTCAACTTTTATGCAAACCTCCTTTCGCCAGTCTGGCGGCGGTAAGTTCGCGAGCAATGCATCCACATCGGGCGGGATATGCAACTTATCCTCGTAGTAGGCATCCATAGCAGCGAGGGAGTGCAGTTTCGTCGCGGCGAAGGTCTCCCCGAAGGACCCCGCGCCGATTCGCGAGGTGATAACCCACGAGCGGATGCACATCCCCGGCCGCACCTTCGTCTGCGCGAGCTTCAGCGGCCCGCCTCGTCCCCCCGCCGCCGCGGGGTCCGGCCGGGATTGGGGGGTGCCCTCCTCGTGATGGGGGCGCTCCTCCTCGGGAGCGGGGGCCCCCACCAACAGGGACTCTTCCTTCCGCTCCCGTTCGCCCTCCCCGTTTCGATGCTGCGAATCCGCGGTCCCCTCCTTCAGGCTCCGGGGGCCAGCCTTGGGGTTGGGCGGCTCGGAGAGGAGGTCGTGTCCATTCATCGGCCCCTTCCCAGGTGCGGATGGCGGGTTTGACCCTTTAAAGAGGGGGGGGGAGGGATCCAATGCGACTCGTTTCGTCGCCGTTTGCTAAAATGAGGTTCGATATAACAGGGGTATTCCTTAATAGAGTGTCACGGTTCATCCGGTGATGGGCCCTGCCCTAAATCGCTATGAAAGTGTTTGGAGTTTGTGTTAATTGATAATCTAGTACTATTCAGGATTTGATTTTTGCCTGTCTATTTGCATTTAAGCAGGGGGCTTCACCTTGCCCCTTTTCACTATTTTTTTAGATGATTCTACCAGAAAGTCCTTGAGTAATTTTCATTTTTCATCACATTTGAGAGTAAAACAATGGAATATTTGTTATAAAAGGAATTATATACATATGCATATATATATACATGAATGTATTTATATACGCATGTATATATTCTATAGTAGTTATTTCAAAAGGGAAATCTCCAACTCCCATATATAAATAATTTTACTTCAATAAACTTACAGATCATGAAAAACCATTTTAAACACATTACCTACTCTTGAGTAAAAATAATACAGAAGAGATGAAAATAATAATGCTCTAGACAAGGGCTTATTATAGTCCTTTCTGCAATAAAGCATGTACATACGCTATGACTTGGCATCTGTATTTTTCCCGCAGATTAAGTAGTTCTAAGATAAGGCAGGAAAAAAGCATTTGCTAAAGCTACCGATGTAGTCTAAAAGGTAATAATATCAGTAGTAATAACTTAGCAGCTCAGCTAGATATCAACACGGGGAATTGAAATCAACAAAACGTGGGTATCTAGTAAGAAAATAGAAAAAAATTTATGGAAAAGTTTTCCGCTAAGGTATTATGCTTAGCTATACGTGCATCTTCCACACTAAACCATTCTGAGTGCATTGGAACGCACATAATCGAAGAAGCAACGCGGCGTCAATTTGTAATACCACTTTTTCCACTCTACATTTGTGTTTTGATGAAAAAAGCACAGGGGTAGGTTTCATATTCGTCGCGCACGCCCTTTGGCAAGACTATTGCACAAACTCTTTGGCTTATGCGAAAAAATACTCCTTGCTTCGCTACGAGCCAATGTGATCTCATCTGCCCTACGCTGAAGAGTGGTATCCCGCGGAGCGATCAACTCTGGTGGCTCACCAACGATTAAATTGCTATAGTCATACAAGAATTCACGCATTCCGCCAGCAATCATGCCAATATTGTCGATCCCTTTTTCACATATTGTGTTTGCTACCTCCACCGCTATGGATTCGTCAAAGTCATACACTACAATGTACTTTCCGATCTTATTCTTGTAGGTGTACATCTCCGGTAGGAACGGACACATCGCGTGATTCAAACGGGTCTTTGGGTAATGAAAGGCCCCAAGGATATGGCATTTATCATATTCTTCCACACTACGGCAGTCTAACATAAGAAGGTCGGTTTTATTATATTGCTTATCGGCATTTGTTAGAATCCCAAGCGAGCCGCCGTATTCATCCATCGGTTTAGCATAGCCACCATCCGCCATGGGGGGAAGAAATGAGGGCAGGTACTGCCTGCGCAGATTGTTCGCTACTGTACTCGTGCGAAGACGCTGGAAGAGCTCCCCTGGCTGCCGCTTGAGCCGGATGGTCTGGTTGCGGATGAACTCCGCGACCTCGACGGTGTAGCCCGTCTCCACAACTCCCTTTACATATTGATACTTTGGGTTGGAAATAATTCGCCGTTGTAGAATATCCTTATCCCCAATTGGATCTTTGGAGGTCGTTTGCGCCTTCCGTTTCGACATCTAGCAGCCTTTAATCTTTAATTTTAAATCTTCCTAGTACGTCGCAGTCTTCAAGAGGGGATATGCATAAAGTGAATCAATAAAAAAAAATAATCAAAGGTTGAATGAATAATAATAACACAAACTCAGCCGAAAGAGCCGCACTTCCTCTGACACTTGCACAGACACATACGATAATAACAATAATAAACTGCGTATTAGACCCCCAAAATGAAAAAAAAAACGATAGGAAATTCATGTGAAGAATTAAAATATTCGTAAATGAAAATAACCATCGGCATTTTAAAATTGGAGAAACTGTCTATTCTATTCGTCGAATCAATGCTGCTAATTTCTAAAATAGGTTAATCGTTTGCGAACCAAACAGGATGCAGTCAACGGTCTTTTTGAATGCTTGAATGATGTACTTCTTTCCATCTGATCATGCTCATGTTAAAGACGTCATTTTTCCTCTTAGGACTCTATGCTTACTAATGAAAGGAAATAAATAAATAAGTAATAATCTAGGCAAAAAGAAGTGCTGGATTAGCGCAATAGTAAACAAAAGGTTCATGTAGCTCCTTCCCGTAAACCAGAGGGATGTAGGTGGTGCTTTGCTTCAGACAACTGTCAGTGAATGATGAGGATAAGCTATCATTGATCGTCTCCATTACGGAACTCCCAGTTTGAGTCTCAGAGAGCTTGAAATTAGCCCGAGACGAAGTCATCAAAAGGGAGTTTTTTCCTTCCTGCGAAGTCGTAAGGTTCGCATCGCTAAAAACTTCAGTTGTATCCTTCTTTATCCCTAGATTCCCACTGTCTGATTGTTGAGAGATGGAAAGCGCGTAAGGCGCGGTGATACCGCCCCTGCTCCCGTTGCGTAAAACAGACATGGAGACAGATGCTTCCCCTGCCTTTCCCTCCGTAAATCGATTATCGCTCCTCAAGCGAAGCGCATCAGCAGAAAGAGCTTTATTATTGCCAGCATGGTCATTGCGCATCTCCTCCAATTCTCCGCTGTCTATTCGAAGACGAGAATTTACTAAATTCGTTTGCTCGTGAACTGAGCACCGCAAAGGTGCACCGGAGGGGTTGCTTACGGCTTCTAAAGACTTGAAGGTGCGATTGGCGAAGTAATTGGTATTCAGCGCCATCGCATCACGTGGAACGTAGGGGATCTTTGAGGAAGGGAACTGTTGATAACGGCCCGTGTATGTGGTAACAGCGTGAGAAAGGGGTGTGGTTAAAGTGGAATCCGGTGCCTTGCCCTTCAAGCTTTCGGCAAGGCCCCTAGAATTAACGGGAATCACATCCAACTCTGTACTCCTTACAGTTTGCGCAGAAACAACCATACCGTGATCATTCGAGTGGTCTAAATGCTGGACTTGTGATGATGCATGGGAATGGCTTACTTCCATAGCAACCGCAGCTCCCGTGGAGCCATTGCTCAAGCCTTCAGGCTCTGCAGCTTCTTCCTCGATCATTTGACGACGCACGCGCCGCAGCTTCTCCAAACGCGGCACACGGACCTCCTCCTGATTCAAGAACCCCATATACGCCACGACCTTCTCTTTGGACGTCCCCAGCCCAATTGTGGTGTGCTGAAAGGCCAAAACGGCGGTCTGCAGCGCTGTCTTCAAATCAAGTCTCCGTGACAGCGCGTCGACCGTTTCCTCCACATACTGCAGTTTGTGTGACAGCCGCAGGAGGTGCTGCAGGAGGGAAAGCTTCTCGAGGTCCTTGGACGGATCAACGCCACACCGTCTGCAGGCGGCAAGTGAGCGGGGGGAGTTCAGCTCAGGGGAGGGAAGGGGGCATCGGGACGACGCGTTCTGCTTCGCCCAGCGATCCTGCAGCGTTTCAAGATTGTCCAGGTTTATGGATTCGAGATGGGGATGGCGCGTTGATGGGTTGCGAGTGTGAAACATTGGGGACGTCTATTCCGTTTCTATGAATGTATTGCGATTTTCTTCAGGTTAGAGGAGTAAGCTATACCTACAACGGAGGAAGAAGGAGATTGTAACCAATTAAATTTTGGCCTTAGACATATAGATACTGCGACTTTTTTCAAAAGCTAAGTTGGATACATAATAACACAAACAGAAAAAAAAGTATTCTTTATAGTGAATGTTACTGAAATATTACTCTTACTTCATCAGTTTTGCATTTCGATGTGATAATATGTTGATTGTTCTTACCCAGAGATTAGACACACCCGATCGGTTTATTTGTACAGACTTCAGTGTGCGTCTACGTTGGAGCAGATTTCGCAGAGTAGGACAGCTGCGATCGGTGATTAAGGGATTATTCTGGAGGTCTAGCGAGCGCAGGTTTGCGAAAAATGCCTCGCACAGGAGCGCTAAAACTCGTACACATTCGTCGTCGATGCCGGTGCTCGCCAGGCTCAACAATGTCACTTCGGGGTACCCCTCTAGTGACTGGAATAGCGGAACCATAACTTCCGGATTCCTTATACCCTCACAACTCGTAAAATCAAGCTCACAGTGCGCTTCTGTGAGTTTATACTGTGAAGTTGTATGAGAATAAATCCATGGTGCGGTGTCCTTCCCAGAAGAGTGCGCGCTATTAAAATAAACGGAGGTAGAAGGAATATTGTCATGTATTGCTTCCAAATTACCCGTGTCACGACTAGGGTTTGTAATCCCGTTAGAAGGACAAATGATATTGCCGGATCCAGCATTCGTCAACGTTAAAAATTGTGAATCCATGTTTTCAGGGTACTTCGCATATCGACCTCCTTGCTGAGGCGTTGTTGGGAGTACAATAGGGCACAACAGCTTCCTCTTCGAAGGTTCGGAGCCAGTACCTTCCTTTGTGCGGGATGGAAGAGTTGCCATGGGGGTCACCAGGGAAAGAATGCTGGAACTGGTGTGAGGCTCCGCAATGGATCGACCAATATGTGTATTATAAGAGTCAAATGTCGGCGGCATCGTAGCGGACTGGCCACAGTCAAATGCAAGGCTAGTAAAGGTGCGGTTCTCTATTTCTGGAGCTATCCGAGCCATCACACTGGAAACAGGAACAACCCCGAGATCCTCGCAAAACCTTTCGTATCGGTGAAGAAGTGCCTGTCTTTTTTTATAGTCCGTTTCCTCGCCAGTGTGCGCATGTGCAGCTAAAAGGTTGTAATAAGGTCTAGGTGATGGAGGGGAAAGGAGGCAATCCGTGGAATTGGTGTTCGCGGAAGACGACAGCTCAAGCGCCTTATTTTTCAATGATATTTCCATGGTGCTACCTAAAATGTACTGGCATAGTGCATCCTTGTAGCGCTGAGCAGGTGTGTTTCGTTCGCAGATCACACTCTCGATTACATTCTCTACTAGCCCAAACGCGGTGTGAAAGTTGGCTGTACGAGTCTCCAAGGGGAGCTCATCCGGGTCGGATTCTCCTGTTATGAGGCTTGACGAATAAGAAGTCGCCCCACATTTATGGTCTTTTTTCGTAGCCAGAAGCATTTCCAAATAGGAAAGTGATGGCGCGGCTCGTGGCTCATGTGTGGTTGGTGCCTGATGATCACTGAGAGAGAATGATGTCGAAAACAATTGATCAACATTACTATTGGATAAGTGACCTATTCTGAGATTCTCAGAACTCGGTGAAGAAGGTTGCTTTCCAACTTCATAGATAAAGGCTAAAGCATCTCGTGGAGAAGCTACAGGAAGGGAATATAAGAAATCCATTACATGATTTATTTGTGTTTTAAGCGAATACGAAAAAAGTGGAAAATTTTTTGTAACTTTATAAATGACCAATTTATATAAATAGTCTGAATAAAAAACATTTAGGGAGGAAAAATATTGGAAAACATAAGTAATCTGATGCGAAGAATGATATTACAGTAATCAAACAAAGCATTGTTGTTCGTATATATATATATTTATAAACGTCTTCAATTTTTGGCGTCCTAAACTTGCATAATTTACAGAAAAAGAAGACAAAAGAAACCTCATTGTGCATATGCTCTGTACATAAAAATCCAATCACAAGAAATTAAAAAGAAACTCATCATTTACCTTGCGATGAGCTTAAAGAATGTCTTTGTGTACACCATTCCATCCTCTTCCAAGTCGCAGCAGTGCGCAGCATTCCTCATACCATCCACACCAAATTTTGCGCGAATGGTGTTTGGAAACAGCTTCCGCGCGACCCCGCTGTCATACGGACCGCACGCTTTTCGAACCTTCTCAACAACATTAAATCTATTTTCCAACGAGATAAGCTGCACGATCCACACGTTCCCGACGAGGCTCTGTACGGTACCCGGAACGTCGGGCAAAACCCCACGGTACGGGCTCAAAAAGTCGTTTATAAGATCAGAATTTACGAAGACCTGCGTGAGCCCGCTAACCGCCAGATCAAGGTTAATTAGCTCCTGCAGGATGTACCCGGCATGTCGGCACGAGATGGCATGCGGCTTGAGCAGCACCACGCTGCAGTTGGGTTCGTCAAACTCGGCGATGGGGACCTGGCCCCACAACACGGCGAGTTTTCCCCAGAGAAAGACCTGCTCGGGATCCTCGGCCGCGTACGTTTCCGCCGCCCGCACGGCAAATTCCCGCCCTTTGAGCAACGCGCCGAGCCGCACTGTCTGAACGACCACTACGCGCCGGCCGCGGAGCGCATCTGGAAGGATGTAATTTTCCACAATGTCCTCCGTGACCTCCCCCATCTGCAGATTCGCAATAGTGAACTCACACTCTTCCATCAAAATCGAAAGATATCGACCAAGCGACTCAAAGGACGATTCCGCGATCAAGATGGACGTCCGCTCATTCTGTTTCTCACAAAGTTGTCGGGTTACCTCATCCGCGCAGCCCGTTATATGCGTCGGGATTCCAAAAATATCGATCGTCGTACCTAAAAAAAAATCGGAAGTATGTAAGGACGGAACTTTAATGCGCTTGAGATGAATTTGGTTGTTCTTTTTCTGATACATCTCGACAGACCCGTCTTGATAGTAATAAAGAAGGACAAAATATCGCGTCAGAAGAGAATATTGATCGTACTGTTCACAATCGAATGCCATACGATCATCGTGTTTGGAGAAAGCCATCTGGATTTAGGCGGTAGGTAAAGTTGTTTCTTAAATGTAAACTTTCCCCCTTTCTTTTTCATCTAACCTATCACTTAAGTATTGTGAATAACATTAAAAAAAATCGATGAAAATAAAAAAGAAAGAGTTAAAATAATATTAGATACCGGCAACTTATTGGACGTTTCTACCATTACTCATACAGTCCTTTAACTGCCCTTTATTATTATCCTTTAAATGATTCTGACGCAAAGAAGATCTAGACAATCCAATCTATTTAAAGCAAATTACCGATATAAATTTAATCTTAAACAGGAGACAAGTAAAACTCAGTCATCCTATTCACCATCTCTATGCACATGAGTGCCCTATAGGCTCGGTCTTTTGTAGGGGAGGGGGGAAGGAGGGGGTTCTATTTTTTGCTCAACCCACTCCCTTAGCAACGTACTCGCTTTGAGATCTTTCGGAGCCGCTCGATCTCCATTTCAGTGCGGCGAATCTCCATCTCGGCCTTCTCTCGCTTTCGTCGAATCTCTGCAAGCTCTCGGTTCCGCTCCTTTACAGACTCACAGCTGAGCTTCATTTTATTCTGAAACGCCAGCGCATCTGCCGAAGATTTCTCGGAAAGAAAAGCGATATCGCCTTTTAATCGATCTATCTTAACTGTTATGGTGCATGTTCGTGCCTCATCCTGCGTGCGTTTGGACTTCAATTTTTCAATTTGTCCCTTCATTTCTGCAGTTTCGCATTCAAAGTCATCAACATACTTCTGAATTGCAACGACTAGCTCAGGAGGTAGGTTTGAGATGGCAGACGTTATATCATTCAAAGGATCCGGATTCAGTACGTCTAGCCTCTGTTGGAGATCAATGACATTAGGGTTCAAACACTCGCTTCGACGCACACGTGTCTCCTCGAATTCTGCGCATTCACAGAAGTTATTTCGTGTAGAAACTTCCTCCATGACGTCCAATACGAAAAATTAAAACACCTTGGCTTATAATTTTTTTGTTTTTTTTTAGTGTGACACAATTACCAGAGTCTAAAATAAATAATGTATAGAAACTTGAAATTAACCCAAAGTGAAGAGCGACAAAAAGGGGAAAAATATCATATTAGAGATTTGAGGAGGAGAATACTGCTAAATCTTCTACTCTTTCTCACCTTTATCAGGGCAACCTTGGATGCCCGGCATCAAAAAAGGTTTATCCCTCCCCTTCCCCCATTTGAGACTTTCCTTTCTCAATTTTCGCCACATGCTTCTCAACTAAAAGAATTAAGAAGGGAAAAGTAAAAAGAGACAGAATTCAAAGAGATCTTGCCCAAACGTAACAAATTTATCTCTTCAAAATGTACTTGTCCACGTAATTTACATAACTTTGTAAATATAGAAATACATAGAGGATATTTAACTATTTTTCTTAGGGAGAGTCAACTTTTTTTCGCACAGAAAAATAAGAGGTACAGCTGTCACTTATTATCAGTGAATTCAGGCCAATGTTCATGTAAAAGGCTTTCGAAGTCTTTCTCTAAGTAAATTTCAAAGCTTATGGGTGAATACCACTCTATTAGCTCAGACAATCCAACCTTCCCCCTAACTGCTTTTCGAACATCCCACGCGCTAAGAAACCCATTTTTTTCCTCCGCATTTCTAGCCACAAACTTGGCCTGAAACTCCTTTATCAGAACCCGTCCTCGGTTGTCTTTTTTTGGAAACAGATTATGCCAAAGGCGCTCCAGCAGCATGCGCCGCGTAGCGGTTAGTTCGTAAGCTAACAATTCCAGATAGTAAGCGTAGTCCACACTGCCATCTCGGTTGGTATCTAATACACAAATGGTCTCTGGACAGTTTATGTAAAGACGGTGCAAGCGAAGGGCATTCAAAAAGTCCTGAACACTAAGGAAAAGGCTTTCTGACGTATCTTCAGAACGCAGGGCTAAGCCAAGAAGGCGCATCGACAACCCACCATCCGCCATAACAATCGGTCGGTGCTCATCAACAATAATGGAGGTCAACTTTGAAGTCATTTTCATCCTTTCTACCACCTGGCTCTTTTGTTCGATGGTTTGGTAGGCCGAAAAGCCTCGTTGCGTGGGGTCGCTCTCAAGGGCTACAGGCTGGGGAAAGACATTGCAGACCCCTTTAATAGACCACAGACTGCGTAGCATCGCCACGAAGTCGACGTCATCGCAGAAGGTTCCAGAAACGCCAGCGTAGTACTCCTCAAACTCCTGTGAACTGACAACCCCGTCAGGGTTCGTAGTTTCGTTAAAGGAAGACTGAAAATCCTCAGCAACGTCGCCAGCAGTGCGCACGCCGCTCACCACATCGGGATGCCCTTTCGCGCAAAAATTTGCATGCAATTCTGCTATCGGGATGGCTCCATCCGGATTTAACGAAAAGCCGTTCAGCACACGCCGCACCCACACCCTCCGTATGGGTGAGATACTATTTCGGAGGGCAGCCACAAATTCGGAGGGATCGAGCGTGCCGGATCCAGATTGATCCAATATTGTATAAATAACCTTCAGCTGGTTCTCATCCAGATGTACTTCAACTTCCTTGAGGGACGTGCGAAAGGCGTCGTGGGTGATGCAGGAACCACCGCAGTCATTGCTGATTCCAAACGCACGACTGAGCTTGCGAATGCCGTTGACAGAGGTAGGTCCGTTTAGGAGAAGCCTCTTTACCATGCTAACGATTGTCGCATAATGATTAAAAGTAGGTGTGTAATTATTTAGACTCATTTAGAGAAATCAATAAATAGTCTATCTAAAAAAATGATCAGACATAAATAACACAGTAAAAAGATGAAAGGGGAAAAATAAATGACTTTAGGTTATCGATTTTTCCAAAAAATATTAGAACATAAAAACACAAATTTTTCAATTCAGGTTGACTCAGCAAGAAAAAAGATATCTTCTTGTTAATTTTGCTTGATTTAAAATAACAATACATCGAAATAAGCAACTTGTGGCATCAGAATGGGTAAATAATACGTACCTATACACGTGTTTATAGGCAGTCTTCCACTAAAAGAAAAATTATAATGTACAATGAAAGTGGGCACACAAAAACCTCAAGTTTTCAAATTTTTTAAATTTTTATTTTCCTTGCTATAAACTCAAAGGTCTCTATTTTCTCGGAACAGTGGACAAAGGGTTATAAGGATTACACTGGAGAGTAGCCCTTAGAGCAGCTCGTTCCTTGGCTACTTTCACAGTATCTATATTACACCACTCGTCGATATTGCTCATTTTAAACACATCAGGACAATCTGAACGTTTGTACAAGGTAAGCGGTGTGAACTGAGAGGCCTCTAGTTGCTGCTGCTTATCCCGACGCACCCGTTTCTCATCTTCTTCCGCACGTCTCATGGGGGAGATGTAGGTGGCGGTATTCACGAACGGCTTTTTCGCGTTCATCTTCACGTAGTCTGGCTCGGGCTTGGGCCGCACAAACCAACTCTCGCGGTGTCTCTCTAACGCCGTACTTGCGCACCAGTGCTGCTCTTTTCCTCTCTTCTCGTTGGAGTTATCGTCGATGACGACCATAGCGAGGTAGCTCATGGGCGGATCCTCCTCTTGAAGAGAGGGGCATTGAAAAGTCGAGCGATTCAGCGATCGTGCCTTCATCCGATTTGTCTCCCACACTCGCGGTTTGGACGAGTTTGGCAGGCGAAAATAAGCCGTTCCCTTGATTGTCTCTGGGAAGTGCGTGCTCACGACCTCGACGCCGTTGTAACGGGTGTTCACGTGCATGTGAGGACGCTCAGGAAAGGGGTGCGCCTCATCCCTCATGGACGTATTCCAGCGTGGTCTCTCAAGACCCACCTGCTCAGCAGGTAACAAGTTATTCAAATAAAGGAAATTCATCTCTATACAGAATGCTTAGAAGGGGAAATAAAGAGGGGGGGGGGAGTTAGGCTCTCAGGACATGTAATATAATACTGTAAGAAAGGGCAAACTTACACCTGACACAACAGTAATAACCTTCATATTTGCTTAGATGATGTTTACTAAGAAGGTAAATTATTTTATTCTCTTGAGAATACATCACGCCCATTATTACGCAGCATAAACAAGGACTTAATCGATAGCTCTCGTGACCTAGCTCCAACACAACGATCGACGTATCGACTTTCAACAAACAACAGCGTCGTAGGGTAAGTAAGAATCGAATACTTATTTACAAGGTCAGGGGTCTTGGGCCCGGGAACAAGTGCAATCCTCAATTCATCAGGGTTACCCAAATTTACTTTGTTCAACGAGGAAACAAACGTACGGGTAAGAGGATCATGAAAAGCCGAATAAGAGTTTCTCTTTAGGTTAATATTGTTGTCCGACATGCCAGTTTTTAAGACGGGCTTGTTTTTAGTTCTACCTAACTTCGATGAATCAGCATGAATCTCACCTAGACCGGTGTCTCCGCTGTGTACGATAACTAAGATTGCCTTTTTCTTGAAGTGTAGCATAAACTCATTTAGGACTTTTTCATTGGGAAGTTCCACCAACTCATAGCCACTAACAGGAGGCTTAGTCACCTGAAATACCTTTTTCAGATAAAAGCAGGACAATGTAAGGCGAAGCATGCTGCTTTCTACTTCTCATACGCTATTCTTTACAATTACCTTGATCGTAGTCTTTGAAGATAAATATTAGAGAAAGAAAGAATAAATTTTCTAAAAAATTTAATCAAAGATGATTGGAAATGACAGAAACCCTCTAAACACTAAAATAAACAAAAAAATGAAGCATTTAAGGAACTATTTAAATGCTAAAATGACGTTAATTAGCATTCCCATTTGCTCTAACACAATTTTTGAGAAATCGGAGCTGCTGCTTGTGGAATACTCAAAAAAAAGTGAGGTATTGCCGATCAAAACATGCACTAAATATTGAAAATATGTGGCTAGGTTTCATGGGAGCTTTTCCTTCAAGTAAAATCGACTCAGATGAAGTAATTATACGTCAAAATATCGTTTACAACAGTGAATGCGCCTTTCTTTACGTTTTCCATCCTGCATTTTTCTCGTACTCCAAGCGCATCCGTTGTTCTTCTTCAGGTGAAGGCGTTGGAAATATAAAAATCATTCCTAACGCACACACAGGAACTAAAAAAAGCTGAATTTTCAAAACCTTCTTCGACTCCGTTTTGAGCTTTCCCAATAAGCTATTATCGGATCCAGGGGGAACCTTTTTGCTGCTGACACTGGGAATCGCGTTATTGAGTAAAACGCGTGTTTGTCGTGAAAGACAAGGCTGACAGGCACGAAAAAACATGTTTCTTGTATAACTGATTTTGAAACTCAAAGATAAGAAAAAGTAATGATTTTAAAATAATTAAGATGTAACAAAAATAACCAGTAAGTCACATAATATTTAAAGCAATCTAATAACTATCACTTGAATCATTCCTCTAAAAAATCAAGGGACATAAAGGAAAAACCCTACAAATTTTCTTTAATAAATATCGGGAGGAACAATTGGGGACTAAGCCACGTTATGCATTAGAATACATCATTGCCTCAACCCCAGCGGCGGTATGTCTCCCTCAAGGTTCTATCAGCTACCTATAATTAGCATATTACAGGTCTCGCAACATGAAGCAGAGGGGACAAAGCACGAAGCCTTCCCATACATCATGTATACACATGAAAACGGAAGTCTTGCAAGAATCTCTTATTAAAGGATCTTGAAGAAGTTAAGGGACAGCCGTCTAAGAATAAGATATTTTACAGGAAAATGGAGAAAAGATGAAAAGAAAATAGCGCAACTTATAAAAAAACTTGAATCAGAAGCGCACACCACCCTAAATGAAAAGTTGTTAATATAAATATACTTGTCAAAAGACGCATAATCAATACATGAATCATATTCTTAACTCAATAAGATACTTTACTTTTTTTTTGGGGGGGGGGAGGGAAGGAGCTATCTAAACATATTATTGCGTTATAATATTTAAAAGGGACATTCTCGCTCCTCAGTGGTAATAATCTTAGGAAGTAATGATACATATAGATTTCTAAAACAGCTTTAAATAGGGAATATTATGTTTATATATGGAAATGAATAAAATACGAACGATAATGGCCTAAAAGCTTTATTCAACAAATGCAAAAGAAAATAAACACTAAAAGGATCATCGAGTAATTGTATGATTTACCCTTTGACTATGGTAGTATTCATAAACATTTAAAGTAGCGAGGGAACGAATTTAATTTACTTGGTAATAAGAGTGGTATCTCAAATATTTATTCTCAAAAAACATATATAAGACCATACACTACAAGTTGACTTGCGTGTATTTTATCCATACTATGAGAAATTAAATAAAAAATTGTATCTTTCGCCTTAAAGGAAACTTTAGGTAAGCATAAGCCGCATAGGAAGTGTAGGCGGTGGATTTTTTACAATAAATCCTCTACTAAATTAAATGATTATTTTGCCCTATCGCCAAAAATAAGAGGTTCGGAAGAATGTATTGGAACAGTTCAAACACTAACAATTTGATCTTATTATTGCTCACTAAATCAGATTAAGTATCTCAAATACAAAATTATGGACTTTGTATCATTAACTTTGCTCCATTACGATTCAAAAGCTTCCACACAGGGAAGAATTTCACCGATAAATAGCACTATGTAAACTAATGTATATGTTATAAAACAGCCTTCGGATATGATTAGTCATATTTTTACATAAATGCCACATCATCAACAGGAAGAAGTTTACAATAATACATATGTAGATGACTGGACGCAGCCATATCAAAACGGTAAATTCTAGGGCAAATGAGGTGAAAAGCTCAAAATAGGTGTCGTATATCTTGAAATTGACATGAGGCTTGAACAAAAGTTGAGCCTGAATGGAAGAGAGCTTTCCGTCAGACATAAGGAATTCAATCATATCATTGTACCCCATCCAGAAAAGAGACTTGTATTTTCTACCTGGCGGTGGAAATAAAACCCACCATGACGGGACGAATTTCCTTGGGTGGATAGTCGTATCGTGAAAATACATTGCAGAAACGGATAAAACGTTCTGCTCACACATGCGCGGTGTAAAGTTGCTAATGCCGCCACCCATAACCCACTTGCCTGTTTTCCTCAGCTTAACAGGCACCCCTGCGAGCGGTGCCAAGCAAAAGCTTGCGTTGAGTGCCTCCAGGAGATCCTCATAGGTTTTGAAGGAATTGATCAAGCGAGGCGACAGCCGCGGTAACTCCGTGAGCACTACCTCTAGGGAACCCTCTTCGAGACGACGGAGCAGCTGAGGATTGTGGTCGATATCCTGCAGGTTATCGCCAAACTTGGCGATAGCGTCTTTCAAAAATTTTTCCGCATGGGTAAAGGACCAGAAAGAAGAGCGATATTGGGAAGCACACTCTGCCATATAGTTGTAAATCGCTTCAAAATCATGCTGACCAATGGCTAGACAAACCGCTACAAGGGCCCCAGTACTAGCACCTACGAAACGAACGCGTTTTCCTTCCTTTTCCCAGCGCGTGAGCATACCAGATTGGACAAGAGCGTGTGCAATACCGAATGAATACATTTCAAGCCATCCTCCCCAAGAAAAGGATATTGTAATATCCCACTGAGAATCTTTTTCATATGAATTCATTACGCTTATCTAAAACATGCAATGCTTTGTGTGCAAGGAAATCACGAAAGTGCGGTAATGCTACAAAAAAAAAACTCAAGGTGTTACCCAGAATGAAAAATAGTTCTGAGGGAAAAGGATATACGAAGATGCAACACAAATAAATTCGTCACAGAATGAATATCAACACATTCACTAAAATGGATCAAAATAAGATGAAATACAGTAAAACTTAAAAATAAAAATTATTGCAGCATTTTAGCCATAGTTATGATACGGTTAGGAAGCCTGTTAAAGGAAAAAGAAAGGGAGGCCGGGGGAATATACACACATGGGCGCTTACTTCTTGGCGGTCCTGCCCTTGCGCTCGACAGCGCGCGCGGCGCGCTCCTTGCGCAGACGCTCCTCGCGACGGATGCGGTCCTTCTTGAGGGGACCGAACCACTGACTCTTCTCCTTCTTTGTCTGGAAACGGCCGTGACCAATCTTGGAGCTCGTGTCGATGAACTTCAGCACGATCTTCTCCTTCAGTGCACGCGACGTTTGTGGCGCCATCGGACGGCGCAACGTGATCACGCGGCGGCGCGGGCCGGAGACGGAGCCCTTCAGCATCACGTAGTCGTTGCGCACCGTACCGTACCCGACAAACCCACCCATCGGGGTGATCGTCTTCGCCGTGAGGTCGTACGCAGTCGTCGCCTGATTCGGCTCCATCGCGACGGAGCGGCTGATCTGGAAGATCTTCTTGTTCAACTGCGTGCGGTGGTGGTAGCCCATCTGACCAGCGCGGGCCACCGTGTACATCACGCGAGCGGGGTGCCACGCACCGATGCACGCGACCTTGCGCAAGCCGCGGTGCGTCTTGCGCGGCAGGCACGCCACGCCCCAGCGCTTCACCACACCCTCCGTCCCGTGGCCCTTTGTCACAGAGCACACGTCACAAGCCTCGGACTGCTGGAACACCGAGTCGATGCGCACCTCCTTCTCGAGCAGGGACTTCGCAAGCGCGATCTTCGCGGGGATGTCGCCACCGTTGATCTGGATCTCTTGCACGTGCGCCTTCTTCACACCCACGCGGTGGTTGCGGAGCTTACGCAGCTGCGTGTGCGCGATCACACGGATCACGGTCGCCTTCTTGGCAAACGCAGTGTACAACCGCGACTCCGAGAGCTTGCCCTCCTTTGTGTTGATAAACTTCTTGAAGTGCGTGAAGGCGAGCTGGGCGGACTGCTTCCAGTTCTTGTAGTACCGGCGGCGGAACTCCACGCTTGTGTGGTGGGCCCAGATCGTGCCGATCGTCTTCATCCCAACCGGCGTCTGGCGATACCCTACGATGCCGACAATCACCATCGGCGGCGCCTCCAGGATTGTCACGGGTTCCACCACCTCCTTCTTGTTCATCTTCGAGCCAGGGCGGTCCACGTCACGCACGATGTGCGTCATGCCCGCCTTGTACACCATGAAGCTCGTCAGGTGCGGCTGCTGGCTGGGGTCGTCCTTCGGGAACGCGCGCGCGCGGCCGCGTATCTGGCGGGAACGCTTGCGCGGCAGGAAGCCAAGATGGCCATGGCGCGGGTGCTCGAACTTGCAGTGAGACATCGTCGATTGAGTATAACGGGAACTTAGTATGGCGTTAGCTTACTATAGAGAGAAAAAAGAGGGGGGGGGGGTGAATCAGTGGCAGTGGTAGAAAGAAAAGCAGAGAACAAAAAAGGGGTGTCGATATGAAGAAAGCGGGATATTCGAAAGTAGTGAGTGGCGCACACCACACAAGTCCTCTTCTTTTCCATCTCGCTCTGCACACACATGCACACACAGCGACTGAGATGCCTATATTTCTCCTCTTTGACCACAGTATTCCTGTCAGATACAAATTGATGCAAACAATCAATCTGAGATCGCACACTTTTACTATATTAAAGCACAGAAAAGCCAAGGCATTTTGCCAAGGTAGTCTGCAAACTATTATCCCCAATCATCCTCTAAAATAAGCACAAAACGCAAGCCTATTGATATTTGAGCATCTGAATTACACTTTTTTCTTTTCATTTGATCCTAATTGATCCTTGGCGTTAGTGGGAAAATTAAAATTACGGACAATGCACGCCTTGGTCATAAAGGGACCTCTTAGCTTGCTTTCCTTGAAGAGCATGTATCTTTGGAGAACAGGGTCCCACATGACCTTTTGAATCTTACGACCAGTCATATCCATCCGCTCGCTTTCCGTCTTGATATGCCCCTCTATATGACCTGTGTTAGCCTCACTTCGAAAGGCGATAGTGTTGTTTCGAATCTTACGAGGTATGACTTTGGGAATGAACCCAACCATACGCTTCTTCAGCCGTGTTTTGTACTGACCACGGCCCAACAGAAGTAGTGTACAGGAAAGCATTATCTTCTAGTCACCTAAGTCTATTTTGGTGTTTTCGGATCACGCAATGCAAAAATGTGTGTAAATGTAAAAACAATAAACTTTGACACACATTATATATATATATGGAAAAATATCCACGTTAGATTGTATTGTCAACTACTCCCCAATGTAAGCACATATACTAGGCTATTGTGACCAATCCAAAGGGAAATATCAATTAGACACTTTATTTGAGTTAATAATTATCCCTTTGATCTTCCTCAGGTGCATTTAAGTAAGATGTATGGTGAGCAGAGAGGTACCTTTTTAGACACAAAACAACCTTCCCTGAGATAAATTAAAAGATTTCTGTTGCAGGCTTGAGTATTATATCAAGCTTTTCCTTGCCTCTCAAATTCCTTCGGTCTTTGAATCAATTAGGATATATCATAACCATTACCAACTTATTAAAAGATAGACTTGTGCATACCCTTGGAAAATGTACTCGTTTGTATTCTGTGTCGCATGATTATTGGTCGCATACAATGTTGTAAGTGTAACAAAATGAACCGTTGATATATATATATATATATATATATATAATTATTACAAACGCATTGGGGGCCTTAGACAACAGGAAGTTAGCTCCGCCCCATTGAAGTGGTGATGGAATAAGAAATTATTCACTACATCTCGAATGTTTTGGTTACACAACCCCGAATAAGCTATATAATAATAAACGCAAAACACATGTAGTTGGTAAAGAAAAAAAAGCGAATGGGAAAATATCACATGACAATCATTAGCTCAATATCTGCAGTTATCCTCCATGGAGAGTAGAAATAAAATCGACTGTATTGCCTTCCTCAAGAATGTAATCCATGCCGCCCATTATCTCCGCATCACAGCCATCCACAAGAACCAAAATTCCAGGACGAACAGACATACCAGTTGAGTTTACAAAAAGATCCGGTCGTTCTGCCAGGCAATGGGTTTTTAAGTACTGTACGAGTTCCTTCAATGACGCACCCTCTGGTACGCTGTCCTCCAGAAGTATCTCGGAACGGTTATTGAACAAAAGCTCACATCCACCACCAAGATTTATCTTCAAATGCCTTAAAAGGGCCATTTCAAAAGAAAAGATATGAAAATAACTAATAGAAGCACCGTCTAAAGAAATAATAATAAAAAGGTGAGAACATTCTCATCAATACAAAGAAATCAAAAACCTCTTGAATGGAGAATCACATTGCTGAAAGAGCCTTTAATTTATTTTCTGTCAAGGGTTACTGAAAGGCATAAAGAATAAGGTGAAAATATTCAAATTAATCGGAAAGAATATGAAATGCCGTTTGGAGTGGTCCTATAGCTCCAGCGATACAAAGGTATTAAATTGTAAAGAATGTAATACCGGTATTAAAAACAATTAGAGGTAATAAAATAAAGCAGACTCAAATAACAGATTCAATGCAGATTAATTTTGTGAAAATCGACATTATCTTTGTTTTTGATTATTCATTTAAGAGGAAAATCCTTTGCATGGGTTAACACGCCATCGCTCCGAATTACATAGAAATGAAAGGAAAGAACACCGTTAATTGATAAATCTCGATAAGAAGTTAATTTTCGGAGGGCTGAAAGGAAAACTAACGCAGAATTTGACGAAAATGCAGTGAAATTGGAAAATATGATATACAGACACCTGGTAAATTAAAAAACATAAGCACGCAAAACCACATAGAGCACTTCTACTCAATAGAAATAGGTTTCCCAGAATAGTAAAAAGGCTCGTGAAAACTGGCATCACCATATGCAGCTGTCAAACCATTGCTTTGGATATGCTTACAGGTGGCTATCAGCTCAGATATATCCCTTTTCAGAATAATTAGACTCCAAAGGAAGTAGCTTAAGCGATATTGGTCAATCAATCAAAAACACAACTCTCCATAGCATCTATCTCCAGCTAGGTATCTTTTTCAGTAATATGCCCATCGGTCTTTCACAGAGATGTAACTCCACAAACTTTTGTACCTGGACGAAGTACAAGGCAATGGGAGGGGCTCAGCGACTTTTTGCACAGTATAATAACTCGGGGCACACTTCAAGATGAAGATTAACGGTAATTCAAGCTTCTTTGACACACACCGTTTCGTATCGTTTTTAACACACAACTAGGGAACATTTTTCTTCATTTAATAGGTCTAATCTCCATAAAGAACGTTTATTCGATCGAAATAAATATAGTCAGACATACTGGAAGGAAGGAAAATATTCCAGGTGTCCTGCATATCGATTTTTTCTAGCTTTTAGATCCTTTAGAAACACGTAGCGTTGCAGATGAATTTGGATCATCCACAGGCGGTCTGGAATACCACAAAGAAATTGGTAGCAACCCTTCAAACACCTATAATTATGAGTCGTAATATCACCCCTTACACAAGTGGAAACAAGCAATTTCATAAATAGACATTTGTTTGATCGCTTTATTATCAGAGCCTGACGTATGGAAGGTAAGTGTATTTTTCATATTCTGTTGGTGTTATTCGTTTCATTTTGTAGGTAATAAGATAACTTCATCGCCTTATGAAAAAATAAAAAAAAAGGAAAGGTAAATATAAATGCATAATACATCTTCACCAACTCAAACAAATAGTAATACACATCGTAAAATTACATAGAAAGTTGAAACCAATTATATATATATTCAGTTCATACACATGTCAATTTATAAAGCTAGGTTCCGCAATGTTATTTTTTATCTGTATATTCTAGATGGGTTCCATAACACCTATTATCATTACTATTTACAATAAAACATTAGGAAATGCTAATACAAAAGGATTAGTAATGTGAAAAAAGGATAACCCGTTAGAAGAGCTTTTCCTAGGCCACTTGTGTTTCCTTTTATTTTAAGGAAAACTATGCTCACTAAAAAAAAAGAGGAACATGAAATAATTAAAGGAATCTACAATGAACTGTATCACAAATTAATAGTAGAATGTTATTGGGTCAGTCAAATCACTGATTTGCACCTCGATATGCCACTCCTCCGTCAAGGTACATTTTTCCCTCACACCTCTATCTATTATTTCTGTAGTAGTGATGCAGTGCCCTTCCTCATGTGGCTTTTTTCTATAGGTTGCCACGTGTGACGGAGCTACCCTTGCCAGGAGCTCCTTATTTCCCGTTGCATGGCCAACTCCCACCATCGTTGAAAACAACAACAGCGCGAGAGCAGCCTGCCGAGGTGTGGTAAGGAAGGGTCTGGATACGCTGATATCAGCTAATCTGTCGTAGGAGTTGTAGTCTCCACACGCCTGGAATGTGCTCCGGACTTTATGGAAAGGAATCTTGAACGATTAATATCATGCAATAAGGACCGCGGAGGCCCCGACGGGGGGGTCTGCTCTAACAGTAAGACTAGCTCCGGTATCGACAGCAGACGTCGAACCCCAGTCACTGTTGTGGAAGGAAGCACACGGCAGCCCTTCAATGTTATCTTATCCGGAAGGCCCTCGGCTCCCATTGATTCTAAGATAGCGACGTACGGACTAGAATCCAACTCAGTCGGCTTCCCTCGGCCATGCTCTTTGTGAGCGATTATGAAAATCCGCTCTGCCAGTTCAATCTTCACTTGTCGACTCAACCACTGCTTCAGCCCTTCGAAGTTGCGGAACATTGTATGCGGCAGACGACTGACTGGATTCAGTGAGTGCTTGTCGAGCAATCCGAGCAAAATAGCCTCACCGGTTATGTTGAATGACCTGACCGTGTACCGAAGCTTGCCTGCTGATTCATTCTCCAGTGTTTCATCTTCTCTTCCAGTAATATTGGTCAGAGCTACCACAGGGGTGAATACATTCCCCTCCACGTACGACGCCTCGATCGTATAGCTATGCAGAACCCCGGCCTCCGTATACAAGGCAACGCGGCACGAGGAGTTTTTGCAGGTCCCAGAGCGTGACGTCGCGAACATATTCGACTCCGTAAAGTCGCACTGCTTAAACTCCAGGTAAGGCGAGTTGAAGGCGACTAGTTGGGTATACATAAGAGTCTCGAAATGAGAAGTCGTGTCGATATTATTGCCGTAAAAAAAAATCCCACGCTGATTCGAGTGAGCGTGCATATCCACAAACAGAGCCAACTGCTCAGGAACTTCACTCAATGACCTGAGAAGGGCCCATAAGCTGAAGGTGGCAGGGTGACGCCTGAAGGATCGGTTGCGGTAGGTGCGGTTAAGGTCAACGCCTGCGGCATCCGCGCGACTGTGGCCACGCAGCACGCCGTCTGGATTCAACATCGGTACGATAAAAAAAACGAAGTGCTCTCGAAGTGCACACGCGCGGGGATCTTTGGAATTTAAAAGGTATTCTATGCAACCGTGCATCATATGGCTCGCCGGGCACTCCCCTGCGTGTACACGCGCCGATAACACTACATACCGCTTCCCTGAAAATCGAATCGGGCGAGTTGTAGAACTCTGTGCAGAGGAAACTGGAATGCCGTGCTCATCGGAAAGCAGCGCCATTCTCGGTTCCTCAAGCATTGCCCCGGACATTCCAGAGATCGTCAGTAAGTCGACCCGCCGGCCCTCAAGCGTCTGGCATAGAATCTCGCGATGGAAGTAAATATTCTGCGACTGAAAAGCGTTTTTGCCGCCCCTAGTAGAAAATGATTCCACATGATTCATCACTGGGAATTCCTTTTCTACCGTCTTCGCATAGTCTACCGTCTTCGACGATGAAAAGCTATCACCTTCTTCAATCCTTGAGCATACATCGATGTTGGGTAGCTCCTGTCGAGGCGATAATTCAAGCGCTGGAGTGATGATGCTCCGGTTAACAACTGCCACCTGCTTCTGCCACGCGTGGATGTTCCGTTGTAGAGTCGTGTACGAATAAGGATGATTGCTCGCAATAAAAATTGCAGGGCATTTGGGATGCCCTAGGGGATAAGACGACTTTAGTGGGATGTTTGCTTCAATCTGAAACTCAAATTCAAGGGTCAAGGCAACATGCTTTTTAAATAGCCTTTTGCTAGACTTTTTGGTCGTGGATACGTTGGTAATCGTCGTATTCGACGGTGATGGGCCCGAGCTGGTAGCATCTTCGCACTTCTCATCTAGCAGTGCACGATTTGACACTTCAGACGGAGAGGAAGTACCGCAGTTCAACGTCTGAGCACCTAAATTCTCAGTTGTTGCGATCATGACAGGGTCCGACGTTACCTCCTCCCCATCGCCGCAGGGTGCTAAACCCTGAGAATCCGAATTCTCTCCGGACGCGAAATTCAAATGGCGCAGAGCTGGATTAAGATAAAGTTGTTTTGGAAATCCCGGTGTAGGAGGCATATCCTTCAGGGGGGACACCTTGGTGTAGCTATTGATACGCGAATACGCCGGTCGAGAAGGAAAGACTGCCATCACAGGCGCCCATGTATGGGTGTACATCGTACTGTAGATAATACCAATCACGGTAACTACCACATTGGTGCCTTTGATGCCACCGCGAATAGAGAAATGAAACCACTGCCGCCCATTTGTCTGATACATCGAGTTGCTGCAGTCCATGGCACTATATAACTTGTACTGAAAAGGTCCCACACGCTCTACTTGAATGATATTTCCACTGTCGAATTCGGATGATATCTCAATTAGATCTTCCTCGATGAAAAAGGTGCGCTGACTGTTAGGTGGCGGCATAAAGGTCCACTCACTTTCTAAACTATTCGCTTTGCTCGGCTCATAAGATGTTACATGAGAATTAACGATGATGGAGTCTGGGATGCGTGAGAAATTCACATCAGAATCATGTAGATTCTTCTTAGAAT